ATACCAATGTTTAACTTATGTACTTTGATTACCCGCAAATAAAAAACGTATTAGGAGCATTTAATGCATTAATCGTATTAGAAACATAAAGATGTACAAAGCATTGTACATCTATTACATTAACATTGTAATATAATTATAATTAATTTAAAAATAATAATTTTATTTAAGAAGAATAATTATTCGCCCTCCCCCCCCCCACACACACACATATACACATATAATATAACTGATACTTAATTTATATAGGAATATCTAGATTTTTTCTAATTTTTTACTGAGTTGAAAACACCATTGAAAATTGGTAATTAGATTCAAAATAGCAAACATTTTTGAACATTAATTGAAAATATAAGCAATAAAAACCTAACAAGAAAATATAAGGCATTTTCAATATTTACATGAGTGTAGTAAAAAAAAAACAAGTAAACCATATACTGGGTACAATTACATTTGATATTAGGTATTCCGAATACATCGAATCGTTTTAACACGCGATAATGAGACAATTTTCAATGTCGCCAACGTGATATTGCCCCCACATAAAATAAAACAATCTCGGCCGTATTGTGAGGAAACTACGCTCAGCACCCTCCGTCGAAAGCTGTTGGCCGGAGCGCCGCGCCGACGGTCGAAATACGCCCTGTCTCTCCAGAGACAGGGGACATACTGTTTGGTTCAGTAATTCCTCGCGTTATTTCCTGTGTTTGCTTTTTATCATTGTAAACTGATATATTGTCTGTCGTAGCTCCCCTTGCTATGGAGAAACTTATGGGTGCGGGAAGAGAAGGACGGTTATATGTATATAGTGCAGATACAGAGAGGACGTAATGGCTCGGACGGTGCAAAGTTGCGAAATGATGGAAACGAGATTACTCGACTATAACGAAGAGCTGTGCTTTCTTTATTTTTGATGCAAACGCAGTCGGCAATGAAACATCGCTTCTCCGCGCTGGATTATACGTGTGCGAATGTACATACATGCTCGTAAATGAATTTGATAGAGTGGCAGCGCGATTGTCACAGTGGTTTGTTTTGCATCCAGTCGGATATTTTTGATGTCATGTGTTAGTTCATATTACATATTGACATTGGAAAAAAGATTCTGTGCGATTCTTACAATAGATAAAAAATTTTTAACAACGACATGAAATACAACACGTAGTAATTTAATTACGCAAAGAGGAAAACATAGATAGATAGATAAATAGATAGAATAAACAAATAAATAGATGAATAAACAAATAAATAGATAGAAAGGAAAAAAGGGAGAGAGAGAGAGAAAGAGGGAAGAACGTATTTCCATGTAAAAGTTGAAATTTAAAAATTAAACTGTTAATAAATAAATTATCTAAAACGTTCCATTGCAAATATGAATTTAAGTATTATATGAAGTTTAGACAAAATTATCTTATTATATATATATATATGTATTATATATAGTTTTAGATTACATTAATCTATGAGCAAATATATTTTTGAATATTCTATATACATTATTTTCCAAAAAATGATCTTGTAAAATGTTTTCCTTTTTATTAAACAAATATTTTATTATTTTAAATAAAATTAAAAATATAAAAATATTCTTTCTCTTTTGATCTTGTCTCGCTTAATTAATAACAATTTCTTCTTGGCCAATCGTTGGCTTGTCGTCATTGAGATATTGTATTGACATGTACTTCGCGTCAATGTTTGAGCCTGAACTCTCTCGAGTGTCGCGTAAGTGTTTGCGTGCGACACTGTGATATACACGTTCGTCATATGGCGTGACACGTGCGCCAACGTTAAACTCGTGTCATATGGCAAACAACGAATTAAGTCTTACCGGCCGTCACATTTCAAAGCCGAATCAAATTCTCAGCAATTTGAGATTTGTCAATACAGTTTAAATTTAAGTTTACGGGTGTGACGAGATCGATTTGCAAAATTACTGATGAGAATGAATATTTCTGTCAAATATTCGAATATACTAAAAGAAAAAATATACTCTCGATCTACATAAAATTTAATAAAAAAGAATTTAATTTCCTATAAAAACAGGTATATATTAAAACTACATATTACAATATAGTACATCATCTAAAAGCAAAGAATGAAATAAGCGATATGAACTTCATTTATATCTAAGAATTGTAAATTTTATATCATATATATACATATATATATATATATATATACATATATATATATATATATATATATATGTATATATGTATAATATATATCGACAACATACTATTATCGAAACGTTGGAAAGCAACGTTCTGAAGCAGTCATTTGATGTCATCTTCAAGACCATTTGAGACTCGGGTACGTTTGAATCTGCATAGCGCACTATCGGTGGAACGTAATTTGTGTTCCTCTTCAGTTAATTACGCGAGGGAGGCATTGATACGGTGGAAGGAGCGAGGCGAAGTGAGACGATGTTTAAAGGGCAACGGTGTAATCCGAAGAAAGGCGTCGAAGCGCATCGCGGCGTTGCTGGTAAAGTGGGTGTAAGTGAACGGCGGGGGTAGGTGGCTACCGAGACGGTAGTAGAGGTGTGGTTGTGCCACACACCGGGGGTCGCCGTCTTAGTAAAAGCTGGTATGATCTGGCACAGAAGACAGGAGAGTCTGTCTGTCTTTATCAGCCGGGCAGGCAGGTAGAGCTGTCGAGCCATCGCGCCACCCCTATCTCCTTCACCCTTCCCCTCCTTTCATCCCTCACCATTCTTCTTGCCGAGAGTTACGCCAACGGCGAGAACACCCGATTGGCGTTTCTCTCTCGAACGAGGGAGGACATCACGCACCGCTATTGGCTCCCGGCGAATCCATACTAGGTATTCATTCGCCATCCCATTCGTCGATCCTTTGCGGGGTCGAAATCCATCTGCCCCCCCGTTCCTCGTAAACCTTCTCTCTCTTCTACATCTTTCTCATTCGACACTCCTTGTGAGCGACCGATGCAACTCACCCCTCTCACGAAGCGCCTTTACAATGCATTTCACCGCCAGCGCTTTTACCTTTCGCGTCGGATATTTCTAAATAAATACTTTTTTAATAAGCGTTCAGGTCGCATGGGTGCGATAGTAAGCGCCGTAACTGCAGCGCCATTTTACACGCGTTTTTGCAGAAGAAAATTGGATTTCCACGTTCATCCAGATGCCTACTATTTTTCTCATTGTCATATTTGTCGTCTATTTGGGGCTTTAGTTTTTTGTTAATGTTGGTGAATAATTGATATAGATATCATTCTAAAGCAAAATATACATTTTATAATGCGTGATCTAGGCAATTGTAAGTTAATTTTAAAATTTAAAACTTTGTGTAACTTTATTTTCTTTTTAATAAAATCAAATTATTTCATAAAGCTGTAAATAATGTCAATATGCCTTGTAATGATATAATGTATCTTTAAACATTGTTATTATATATATATATATATATATATACGTATATATACATGTATATTGCATCCAATATTATGTGAGATTATTATTTATTTATAAGAGATTGATATGCTTCAATTTCAAAAATTGCAAGTTTGACGAAGAAATACATACAAAAGGATTCTAATTAATATTCATAAAAGTATATTAAAAGAAATATAAAGTACATGGAAACACCGATCATAAAAAGAAGATCTTAAAATTTAGCTGGATACAGATCTGTGAAAATAATTTTGCTGGACCATCAAAATAATTAGATTTGGAAATTCAAACTGATTGTTAGAATATTAACATTTTTTACAGTATTGCTCATCACACACAGTGTGTGTGTGTGTGTGTGTGTGTGTGTCATAAGTTTCTAACATAATTATTTTGATAATATCAAATTATTTTCAAATTTGTGTATCCAGTTAAATTTTAGATCTTTCAGTAAAATCGTTCTTTCCGTGTAAAAATGTAATTATAATAATAATTTAGATATAAAGATATATAACAGAATTTAAAAATCTATAATAATATATTATGAAATAAAGACATCTTAAAAAGATGATATTCAATAATACCAGAAAAAATATTATAATTCTAACAACAATTATAAATTATAGATTATGAGTTTGTTTCTTTTTCCTTTTAATAAATAACTAGATCAATAAATAAAAGATATTCCAAAAATTTATAAGAATCTACATAATTTATAATATTGGTTTTGTTAAAAGAATTAGAACGGATAGAGATGTAGAAGAATTAGAATAGATTTAGAATAAAAATACTCTTTTAAGATTCGCACACACAAACATTTTTTTAAATACTACAGAATATATATATTTTTTAAAAATACTGAATCTTTTTCTAATTATTTATCATAAAAATTTATCAAATTAGATAAATTAGACCGCTTGATATTGGTTGACTTGGTTGACTTGACATACAGTCAAAGAAAGATTAAAAACTATAAAAAATTTAAATGTATTGTGGATAAACAACAATTTCTTGAAAAAATACAAATAATATGTTTTATCACTGTCGATGAAAGATTCAAAATAAAAAAACATCACATCACAAAGTCTAAAAAGCAATGATGCATGAAAATATCACCGATATCTGGCTTTTAAAGCGACATGGGTCGATGATGGTCGATGTGACGGTGAACGAATTAATCCGAGAAGGAGCAGACGCCTCAGCTCCGAAAGGCGATCGATGCAAAGTGTCGAACTCGAAAGCGAGGAGAGCGAGACTTCGTCTGCACTTTTGATGTCGGTCGCACCTCGCCCGTCTACCGCGAATTCGAGTAACTCGCGCGGCAGACAGAAACGAAATAGCTACACCGCGACATCCTGATAGGTAAAAGTAGGAAAGAGTAAAACGGAGGGGGATGAGAAACGCGGGGTTGAAAAATTTTATGGGATAACGCCGGTCGAGCAACGAGGATGGGCCATCGTATTGCCCCGCCCATCGTACCGCCCACGCCAGTAGTGGTTGCTGCTAAGCTTTCTCCGTTCCCTCACCCTCTACCCTTCGTGGCGCAGCTGGAACCTTCTCGCGGTTCGCTAGCAAGCAGCGCACACACGTCATCTTCACCAGCGTCGAACGGCGCTTTCAATCGTCGTCCTGGGGTCGCCGTCGCGATCCATCCACGATCTATCCTATCGGAAATCGTCGGATTCGTCGATTTCGAACTGTTATTGGGATAATTCTTCCGGAAGTGATCTAAGTTGTGTATCGGATGTTAATCGAAGATCAGTGAATCAATTGGACTGTTTTAAGATTAAAAAACTTTCAGACAAAAATTTAACGAATTGAACAGGAAGTTCGAGGAAAAATCAGTGAATCAACCGGACTGTTTTGAGATTAAAAACTTTTGGATAAAATTTAACGAATTAAACAGAAAGTTTGAGAAAGAATTAGGGAAGAATCAATTTTGATAAGTGTAAAAGATATTTCGGTGCATAAGAATTGATATTAATGATTATAATGTTTAAGCAATATCACTCTTGATACAGAATGATTCTTCGAGATTTGGAACTTGCAGATTATTAACTATCAGAAAATTTTTAGATTTATGTTTCGATGATTACGAGCAAATTAAAAAAAAAATGAAATGAAAGGACTAGTTCAATAAAGTGCAAGATGTCGGTGATTATAAATATGAAATGTGTGAAACGATTAGAGGATTGAAACGACGGATGTTGACAATGCCATCGGTCAGTCAGGATTATGTAAAGTTAATTACTGAAGTGTCGAGTACCAAATCATCGCAAAAAAATCATTTTTGCGAAGATGAAGTCCCTTGAACTTGATGAAGTCAATTCGTGTCGTCATGCGTGTGATTTGAAATTATTCGCGATAAATTTGAACAATTATTAAGGACTTAACTGTATGAAGAACGCGCACCGTAATTGGGACGTAATGGAAATGAATTTTGTTTAAATCTTAAAGTATATTCGATGTTAGATACTTTCGATAATTAATCGGAAGTTGGTGAAAGTGTTCGGGCTGGTAGAAAGAAAAAGTTGTGTTGTGGCTGTATTGCTGGGGTCAATTAAACAGCGACATTTTTACATTTTCTGTAAGTATTAACAGTTAAAAAATCTTTTGTCTATTAAGTTAGAAGCTGCTAATGAATTATAATGATCAATATTTCTTTATATTACGTTTCTCAAGTCATAACGATATTTGTACATTTTCTAAGTAATAACATAAACTTAACTTATGAGTAATGGTACAAAACGTTATATTACATGGAACTGTATGTATAAATAATTTAAGATTAATAATTAAACGAAACGTTTGATTTAAAATTAATATTTTTTATTTTTAAATTTTTCGGCATCCATTTATTGATCAATCAATTTTTGTTCTGTTGCTGTTTGAACAAACAATTGTAAATATGTACAATATACATATGTATAAATAAGTAAATGTATTTATTTATAAATAAATAAATACGTGCTTACTATTATTACACTTAAGTAACACTTAAATAATTAAATCAATAAATATATGTAACATATCTTTGTAACATAAAAAACAATGATATATGTAAGTCGCATGCGCACTTATAAACAATCCGCATATAAAAAAACTACTACTATTATTATTATTATTATTATTATTATAAAATCATACTGATAATCATACATAATGATTGTGATCGATTTTATATAACGAATACGTCTAACAATATAATGATAATTTGATTGCGGTAGAAAGTGTATAACATGAACGCGTATTAAAAGTCTATAACACAGAAATTCATTAATCGAAGAGTAGATTATGAGATCAAAAGCTTGGTGTAATTAGCCAAATTTTATAAATGGATAAAGCGAAGATATATACCGCTTTGCTGCATCTAAAGAGTATTAAATGGATTAAAACGCCCGTCGCGTCGCTTAGCGTCACGATCCCGTTCTCGCGCTGAAAATAGAATGTGTTGCGTGCAATAACCAAATATATTTAAAGATGCAAACGATAAAAAATAAACAATTGTCACGCAAGATTGTGAGAGGAATTGTTTTAAAAAAAAAATAATTTTTTAACGTTGAATCTCAATTATTTTTGTAAATTTAATAGAATAAAGAAATAAAAGTTTAAGAAAAAGTAAATTAAGAAGTCTTGTACACATACGTTATAGAGATTTCATATAGTTTAATTTTTTATGTCTTTTATAAATAATAAAATAGAAACTTCTATTTTATTAATAAATATAAAATATAAATAAAAGAAAGCATTAAGGTTTCAAGAGATAAAGAGAGGAATAAAAACTTTATAAAAAATCAAGTTTAATATAGAAATTAATATTGACTTATATAATTTATAATATTGAAATTATTAATTCCATAATAATATTCTATATCTCTCTCTTTCTTTTTTTCTTTCTCAGATTATTCAGCTGATATTGCAATTTTTATTATTACATCTGCAATATTATATAATAGAATTTTAACTCATTGTTTCGTTACTTTATTTTGTCATTCACACACAATCGCTAACTCTATTAAACTCGAATTTAAAATGAACTTTGTTGCAACATGTATCTTTTAAAGAATGTTGATGCAAGCAATATGATTAACCGAATCTACATCGGCCATTTGCGCTATATAAACACAGCAATCTGCCTTTTCATCTCTTCCTCCTGTAATGATTGAGATGTAGGTACATACATGTGACATATTGTACCAGCGATAAAAACATTTAACATTCGAAAGCGCCCCGACGATTATCACGAAGGGACGTAACAATTCGCGTAGCCAAAACAGCGCACGCGGTGCACGATACAAACCAATGCATGTCGAAGCAATAACGACATGGTAAGTGCCATTGGAAATTAACGAACAATTAGTTCGCCCCGTCTATGTTTTATAAACACGGTGCTCGTGCTATCGACGACCATTATTTTCGAGGATTCTTTCGCCCGCTCGCCTACCTACCTATATGCTACTACTTAAGTACCTCGAGGTTCGAGCATACGTCCGAAGCATCCGTGTATTCGAGCGAGTACTTAGGGCCTTCGAGTATCGCATGGCACGGGAGCGGGGTCTTTCGAAGGGCGTTTCGTCGTGCTTAAAAGCGCGGCGAGGCGCGGAGGGCCGAGCAAGCCACGGCAGCTTTGGTGTTGCAGCCTCTTCAAACCTCGTGCAAACACTCCGCGCGGGAGCGGAGCGTTCGCCTGGTATGGCGATTAATATCCCAATAAGGCCTCGTTCACGGAGTTCACTCGACCGCGCGCGGCTTCGTTGTTTATTCATTGTATCGCCGAATACTCTACCCGTGGCATAAGCCGCTTCGATGGCCACTGCGCTCTACCATATACAGATTCCTCAGATCGAGAATTAGAACAGCTAGATTATACATAAAAGTGAGGGGAAACAATATGATTCCGTATAACATGAACAAACATTAACCCGTAAAGGCTACGTCTCTTTTGAATGGTTTTGTTTAACACGAAGGTTTGAAAACAATTACGTTCCTTTTTCGAAAATTTAATATTACCAGTCGATTGGTCAGAAAATTTTACATTGAGAAACACACATTTTGCTTTAATTTTGCTTTTTATTTTCAGAAGATATAAAATTTTAAAAACGCTTGGTGCGAATTCGCACCCAGGTGTCCTTTACGGCTTAAAAAATGAGAACATTATATATAGAGACGGACAAAAGTATTGGAGCAATTGAAATTGTGGCAGCAAAAATGGTAGCTATTTATTTCTGTAAAATTTTTACTCTTTTGCTCTGCATTTCATTATATATTATATAAATTAAATAAAAGCGAGCTACAAGAAAAAATCGCTTCCTTATAAAAAAAGATTTTCTTTGGGCCATTCTCGAATTATGCTCAGTTTTATTAAAGATTCTGTATATTACTTTTGAATGATTGTTTCGACCGTACTCTTCATTCATTTTTACGATTATCTGTGACATACGTATCAGCTTTAGAATTTATATAATTTTTCTTCTTTCTAATACTTACTTTATGGGCATCTATAGATACTTTATCCTCATTTTTTATTAATCTTTTCATCTTGAAACTTCTTGAAACTAATGCTTTACACAGTATAACGATTTTTGTTTAAAGTAAAATTGTATATTACTCATAATTTAGAATAAAATAGAAACTATAGAGGATATAACCAATAAAACGGGTAAACAAAGATGTTGTAATATAATTATATACTTTTATTCGATAAAATTAAAGCGGAACGTTTCGACTTTACTAAGCCGCTAATACAAAATTTCGAAATATACTCAATAATATTAATTTTAGCCGGAGAACACGTAACGTTTCTTTTCTGGTGTGAGTTATATAGTATCTAGGTTTTAAAATTAATATAAGAATCAAACGAAGAGCAATGAGAAAATTTAAAATAAGATTGCTGTCTGAAGCCATCGTTAGTCATCTTTTCTTTTGACAATTTTGACGTAGTTTGATTCAATTTTCGACAATCAATCTAGAGGTGTGCAGATTCCATCACAACGAGGTCCTCTCTCGGTCAACGTATTTTTGAACTGATGGGATCTTCTCTGGTCAACGTCTTTTTATCAATGTCAGCGGTTGACAACAATCGATAGTATTGTCTATTGATATGTTTCGAATCTTATGTCATTGTCTTAAAATTTTAGTTACATTTCTGCAAGTCTATCAAGAATAAAGTAACAACTGTCCAACAATTCAGTGTCTGTGTAAATTTAATTTATTTTCTTGTTTTTTTATGTGTATCATTTCTGACATGTCTTTTAAGATAATTAAATTCATTATTGAGTATCATGCTGTTTTCCTAATCAAAGGTATAGTTTAGCTTCGACGTATGTTCACTAATTAGTAATTAGTAATTGCCAAGTGCTTTGAAGAGTCTAATCTGGAGTTGTACTTATCAGATCCATTCATCGCTGATTTTATCATTTCTGACATTATTTTTATGGAAAGTCCAAAAACTTCCTTGCATCTTCAGATGTCTTTTGATTTTCCCTGTTTCTATTGATCCTATTATCAGTGTTTAATTTCATGTTGATTAATTTCTTTAATCTCATGTGTATTCTTTGAAAAATAAATTCCAGAGGACAGCTTTGTTTTCCAATAGATTATTAATGCATATTTCCATTTTTTTTTGTGAAACATTAGATGTAACAATAACGTAGCACGGTTTTATTAAACTGTATATGGTTCCAATTTTGTAGCAAAGTGAATAGTGTGAGAAAAACGAGAAATATCTTTCTGAAAATGTTTTCTTGAGAAAACTAGTCTATAATAATTTTATTATCCATGATTTTGAGAGATAAGTCCATAAAGTTTAGACAACGATCCTCTTTATATTCAATTGTAAATTATAATCGATTGTGATATTTATATAAAATTATCTAGAATATTTGTAACTTAATCAGCTGGAGTTGTTAGAGCTATTCATCTATCATCCGCATAACGTAGGTACATAAAATATTAAATTAAATCCCAAATTGTGTAAAACTTGGGACCTTTTTCTCCAGATTCTGCAAAATTCTACTTTAATAATCTAATTTTCTTTTTCCCTAATGTAATTTCTTTTCTTTTATATTTTATATTATTATAACTGAGGTAAAATTAGCTTAAACAGTAAAAAATAAACATTGGAATTTGTTTTATTAGAAGATAGATTTTATTTTCAACCAAGAAATATATTCTTGGTCATATCCCATACTCCTTTATGTGCAACAATTGCGGATTTTTAAGAATACACATAATTCATTAGTTGTGTTAATAGATCTACTTATAAGGATGAAATGTTTTTAGAGAGAGAGAGAGAGAGAGGAAAAGCGTTTTTATTTCTTTCTTGTAACTGCATTTATTTATATTAATTTCTGTATCGTGTAATTAAACAAAAAGTTAAAGTTTTACAAAAATTAATATTTTATTGCCATTTTCTTCAAAAATGTAGATTAGTTTATAATAGTATCTAAACTGTTTCTGAAATACTGAAATACTGAAATACATCGCCGAAAATATTCGTTATACAATACAAGAAGAATTTCTGGCAGAGAAATTATAAATTACAAAACTACAAACCTGTCCCCGTGAGTGAAAACCGCAGAACTTTTC